GAATGTGCGCAGTCAAGCTCCCTGTCAGGAGTAACCCTCCCGAACCCGGCACTGCTCTCTGCCTCTGCCGGAGACAGGAACACGCAGTTTCTCTCAAGCAGCTACATTGAAACCAGTCTGCCAGTTCGCCTTTCCTAGCCCTCAAGAAATTTTGGAAATTCAYCCAAGCTGCAGCACYTCCTCTGGCCARCRCCTCCAGRGAATTAGCAGCAGTATGAGGCACTGGGTTGTGCTGCTGATTTTCTCTGTGTTTCTCCTTACCAAGAGCACGGCGTCATCCCGGCAAACATGTGCCCCAGCTTGCAGGATCAAATAAGCCTCAGCATCTCACACGGCAGGGCTTTGCAGCAAAACAATCGAGCTGACAGATTTTTGTGCATTGACATCACAGATGGGAAAAAGTCTTACTAATCCTCCAAAGTTCCTTCCAGTGGATGATTTCATTGAAGTCTCGGGATAAGTCCCAGCTGCTGCAAATGAGCACAGATAGACCAGAATTCAGCAACARCACAGGAGATTTGGGCAACAGCTTAGAGGGCGTCTCAACACCCAGGGGCATATAGGAGATGTTTTCATACAGAGCAMAGGGAACAGCAAGAGGATATTTGGGGCTAATCGAAAGTAATGGTAGAGTACAATTTAGCTGACCTCTAAATCACATGTTTTGAGCCTTCATCACGCACAGAAATGCTGGTTTCGATCTGCCAGCCATCAATGAACCTTGTTCTAGGTCATGACAACTCCTTTTAAAGCCTTGGGGTTAAGCAATAAGACCATTTTAATCAATGGATGGGTTAATTCATTGAACATCAATGTCAGCAGCTGCTGCAGCACCTTAGGGACAAAGTACCTTTCCYTGAGTCCATCTCTTCCTAAATAGGTTGAGCAAGTTCTAACCCTGCTAATATGTCCCTTCCAAACCAGATCTGTGGGAGAGTCACATCAGCCTAGGTGGCATTTTGCCCACCTTTATACTCTTTATCACCCTGATCTGATTGCAGCAATTTCTTACCTAATTCATTAGCTCAGACTTTGGCTGCAGTGCAGTACAGATGCTCTGATACTGCACCTTAATGGCACCTGTATTGATCTGAACCTGCCTGAAGCCATTCTCATCACCCTTTCTTYGGCTCATGCTCTGACCATGCTGATGGCTCTTTCCCTGCTTTCGTCAGAGTGCAAACATAGTCCAAAATCACTGTCAGTTGTGCTGTAAATAAATATTACAGCACCCACACGTGGGACAAATAAYACTGATTAATGGTTTATATGAGGTGGCTGGCTTTAAGCTCCAGTAGGAGCATTGCAYACCCTAATCAGGGAGCCAGGGGGGAGGATAGTGGGTTAGAGGGTTAAAGCTGGTGGTTCAAAGCAGTCCWTGCCTGTGATACTGCCTCCATACAAAGAGCAGGAGCTCTTTGCTGCACATCCCAGTCAAGGCCAGGAACAGTCCTACCAGGACATACTGATGCCCAGGATGTGTGGGAGTAACACAGAACAGCACATGTAAAGCATGGAACTACTTACTATTTATACGTTTTGTTGTTTTGTGGGATTTAACCCACTTAATCACCAGGCTAATTCCAGCTCAAGTGATGGGCGTCCTCACTGACATGGTCAAGGCAGGATGGGGATTCCAGGCAGGAGGAGCTCCAGGCAGGCTGGAAGTGGTGCCTGCTCCCATCAGCTTTCTCCAGGACTGCCCTCAGCTGCTGAGGGGCACACTGTCACTGTCTGATGCTACATTTTATTATTACTTCTTACTCCTGCACAGTCACGCCACACACAGAAGTGATTTTCACATGGAAATAGGAGGGGTTGGGAAATACAGGCATTTTCTGCCCGTTTAGTGCAACACAAGCTCCMCTTCTGAGCCCTCGCTGTGACAAATTAAGCCCTCTGACTCCTACAGTACCTGTCCCCCTGCCCAGCTGGCTGGGACAGAGTGCCGTAACCTGCTTTGTCCCATAGGGAGCAGGCAAAAGTCTCCCTCGCCCGGGCAATCATTAACTGCCCCTGTGAAGTGGGGAGGTGCGAGTTAAAGCCGTCCTGCTCTGCAAACACACTAATGGCTGGAGTGGAGATTAGCAGGAGTGTGTTACCAGCCAGCCTGTGCCACGGAGGTGACACGGTACCAGGGACACGGCATGGCTCTGACCAGCCCGCACATCCCCTGACTTTGCCTTTGCTACCACCAAGGTCATGAGCACAGTGCAACCAGCATGACCTCTGAGATTGTACTGGGATTGCACGGAGTTTGTGCTGGGAGCCGGGGCCACAGGGTGGGAGGGAAAGCTGAGCTGCACTGGTGGCCAGTCCCCASCACCACAAGCAGCACCTCAGCCCTCATCATGCATTAACCCAGCAAAGCAAATGTTTAACCAGCCTCCCTGCAGGGCCTCCCTGCAGCGGGACGTGAAACGCTGTCTGCCTTCGAGTCCAGCCTTAGGTGGCTTCAGCAAAGTTTTGTGATGCTGCATTCCCAGCTCCATGCTGAGAGATGAGATTCCACAGAGATGCAGGCAGGCAGAGCAGGCAAAGCTGGCAGAGCTGGCAGAGCTGGCAGAGCTGACAGAGCTGGCTGCTCTGTCCCTCAAAGCTGCACCCAGGCTCCTCGGTGGGCAGACACTGTTATCTCACTGTCACTGCACTCGCATCAGAGGGCGGCATCAAACACCAGGGAGAGCGAGTGCTGCTGTTGGGAGCTCACTTGACACGTGTGGGGTTTGTTAATGCACAGGAGACACGTCCACACGGGGAAGCCGCTGGTGCCACAGCAGTTGGCTAAAGACAGGACAGCCAGCAGCCAGCGTCACTAGTAGAGTAACTCAGCAGCTGCAAGTCCCTCTAATGTACAGCCCTGCTAATAAGGAGCCCTGGCTGTGGGCTCCTCCAGAACCTTTTTCCTRTTCCCAGCACTCATTAATGACCATTCAGCCACCATCAGGGACACTCCAGGTACACATCCATGGGTGATGTGAGGGGAGTCTGCTTGGCCACAAAGAGCTTGTGGGGCACACATGCGCTGTGAGGTCACAGTTTTTGCAGAAAAACTACACAACCTCCCCGCTTAAAGGCCTGTCCTTTGCCACAGCCTTGGCCTAGGGCCAAAAGCTSTGTGGGATCTTCCAAACCCTGCCTATGAGTAACCCACAGCTGGACAGGTGAGGCTGACCACACTCCCAAGCACATGGACATACACCACACACCCTGGAATGAGGCCCAGCCTGCTTCTCCTCTCCTCATTTGAGGCCCCATGTCAATTAAATGGAAYAGCTCCTGGTCAGGAGGTTAAAAATAATAATTTTTTTTAGTCTCTAGTAGCAAAGGACCAGCAATTGCTTCTGTTTTATCTCCTGTAATAGAGCAATACCTGTACAGTCTTTTCCCATTCCTCCCTTGTCTTTTTTTTTTCCAGAAAGAATATTCCCTTCAATCCAAAGGTCCAAATGGAAGCAAGAAGCCAGGAAGTGGCAGTTCAGGTGAGTGCCAGCAGCCTGTGTTGYCCCACAAAAAGCTTTGGAGGCAATCTCTGAGGGACTGGGGCTTCTGCTCACAWGTGATGCTGCTGAGCCCTTGGCTGGGAAACACAGCTGGAATGGGGGGAAATGCCAGGATSTGGAAAGGTGCAAAGTGTGAAAAAGGTGAATATAAGTGAAAGAGCATCCCCGCGTCCATGACAACCTGGCCTCTTTCTCCAGTCCTTCATAGGACCAGGACATGGTCCAGACCGTGCACTCTTGCATGTCAGCATGTGAAGGCAACTTTCCCCTTCCTCTGGGTGGAAATGGTTTTGCTCCATCCCTGATCCTCCTGCATCTGCAAACTGGCACTGGGCAACCTGGACAGAACTGGACCACAGCACCCATCAAAGAGCCAAAAGGATTTGCTAGTTTAACCCTTTCTCCTCCCCCAGATTTGAAGCCTCTGGTTTYCCAGTCTGTGGCAATTTAGGGACAGCCAGCATTGTACCTCCAGCCACGGCGATGATGGGGACAAGAAGCCAGGACAGGCAGGGGCTGCATCTCAGCAGCACAAGAGCAGGGGCAGCGATGCTGTGGCATCACACAAGCTCTGACACAGCCTGGCCCGTGCAGGGGCTGCTTCCCCCTCTGGCATCCCTCACCCCTGGGGTGCAGCAGCCGCTCCCCCTGGGCCGTGCAGCAGTCGGTGGATGACAGGGTGTTGCAACACGCCAGGGAATAATCACGATAGCTCGAGCGGTTGCCCTGGTGCCGGCTTGGCTGTTGCAGTGGTTGCTAAAGAGAGTGGGCGTGCGGCTTCCTCTGGGGCGATCTGATTTCTCCAGGAGTGTGGTTAAGGCACGTTGAGGAGAAATCGTCCTCTGTGGAGCGGGGACACGGCCTCTCCGCCAGCAGCAGTGGCTGTGCCGGGCAGGCGGCTCGGGTGCCTGGGCACGCACAGCGCTGTTTGCTCTGGGGAGAAAAAGCGATTAGCTCGTTCATCTATCCTGGGCAAACATCACCTGGCAACAAAGAGCAAAGGGAACAAGTTTTCAGGGCGGCAGAGGCATCTTTGGGAGCAGCGCTGAAGAGTGAGCAAGGCTGAGCTGCAGCCCTCGGCGAGGTCCTGCGGGGTGGCAAGAGCAGCACGGAGGGAGCGCCGGGGCAGCAGCCACCTCCACGTGACCTTCCGTCCCTGCTGCCACCGCACAGACCTGGCAGGAGCCGGGCGGCTTCCTTGGACCCGGCCAAAGTCACCGAGGCGGAGTGCAGCCGGGCGGCAGCGGCAGCCTCAGCCCCCACAGCCCCATGTCGTGGGGCACAGGGCAGCACCTGCCCCCCGGGCTCCCCAGGGCCTCGCTGCGGAAATCAGGTAAGGCCAGGCTGCCCCGGGCATCCCCCTGCTCTGCCGCTCCCTTCTGCGGGGACGGGCTGCTGAGCCCGTGCCATTGCTCTGCACGGCACACACAGGTGACTTGGGACCCTCTTTGAGTTTTATCTGAGGTACTTCAGTAGCTGGTTGAGAAGTCGCCCTTCTGCTTCTGCTTTTCCATATCCCACGAGAAATTCCCTTAGAAAATGCATCCTGCAAKTCAAACCTTCTTCTTGGAAAGGCACTGGGCTGGACGGGGGCTGATGCGATCCCTACAAATCAACATGGGAGAATTTTCTCTGTATTTAACAAAATACCTTTGAACTAACTTTAGGCATTCATTACGGATTGATGTGCATCTCTGTCATTGGCAGGCAAATGCACAGAGCAAATATTTGGTGAGGTATTAAAAGTAAGTTTATGATTGTCAAGGACTGCTAAACATCTGCCACTGTCTAACAAAACTAAACCAGTGCTGCACATGCTGCCAGGAGAAGGCATGGGACGTCTTGGGGATTGCTAACAGACTAAGATCCCAGCCTCGCTGTCTTTGCTTATCACAGTTCAAGGCAATTAAATGAAATGATTAACCAGCACACCCAGTCCTTCCTGCCAGCAGAGAGGCACTTGCTGCTGCCTGGCAGTGCAAGCATTTCCAGCCAGTAACTTCTACACCCCAGACAGCTCGGCAAGCCTCAAACCTGGTGTGATTTCTCTCTTCTAAAGCCATGTGCGTGAATGCAAAGCTCAGCGGGTGACCGTGGTGACATCCAGAGCCCTTTACCTTCGGGGCAATGGCAGGTGGTGATGTGTGAGCAGCCCAGGCAGGTGCAGTGCTGTGCAAACGGGGGAATCAGCCCTGGGGTGCAGTGCTGGCACAGGGCTCAGCAAGGGCAAGCAGGACTGGGGGCACTGGACAAACTGGGGACACTGGCTGAACAGGCAAGACAATGCTGGCTGTACTGGGGGGAGCACTGGCTGTACTGGGGGGAGCACTGGCTGTACTGGGGGGAGCACTGGCTGTATTGGG